GTCTCTCCGGTCAGAGGCGAACGCTCTAACCATTGAGCACAGAGTCCGCCCTGTTGTCGGTTTATGATCAGGACTATATAGTGGTGGGTAAATTGTATATTTATGGCGCCAGGGGCTCTTTCAATTAAGGCCCTGGCGCGGCATTAATCCATAACAGCTCCTACATGAGGGTTCACCCGACAATGCATCGTGTGAAGGTGTACATGCCACTACCAGGTACCACTAGTAAGGTAAGAGCTAGCAACAAAAGGAGAAAGCTGGCGGACAGTATCCGCCGCTAATTTTTTTCAATTGCGAGCGGAGGAAATGAATCTCGGGCAGACTATGCGTATCGGGGGATGGGCGTGCGAGACTGCCAACGGCCCTGAGTGCGTACGGGACTTGAGGAGCGGACAGTTAACCTTTCTGACATACTCACGCGCCATTACGTGTGCATCCGCTGTTAAATTTCATCCCATCGTCATTCGAGGAACAACATCTTAATAATCCGCAGCTTAGTGGTCATACAGCCGGAAATAAATGTATAACCGCAATGACAGTTCTACATGGCTGGAACGTTCGTCTTTAGGAAAGTGTATCATTGTAGAAGACAGGTGAAGGAATTTCAATTCCATATGCCCTAGGCATTATGTGAGGAATGGATGTCATACGCAGGTCGGGAGGAGGGAGGGAAGACTATTCTGAGCCATGTACCTCGAGAGAAACGGGGGCGGCGGTGGTTATGAGGCGGCAGAGTTGACTGTTCAACACACCGCTACGTAATGCACTGCTCCCAATGGCTGAAACAGAAAGCCCTGTCGAAGAAGGAAAACAGTCAAATGTAATAATACAAAGTAAACCGAAGACAGTACGCCCTGCGCAAGGAACGCCAAGACAGACTAGGCAAGCAGAGGGGTGCAGGGGGGCAGGGGTGAGGGTCAAACGCGCACGCGGTCGCGTAGATGAAAGACGGGATACACTTTTTCCGCTGCGGTGTGTGTGAAGAAAGTGGTTGGATTGAAACAATCTGGCTTGGCGCGGGGAGTACGCGTCACAGTGAAGGTTCGAAGTAAATATGCATGGATTTGGTGGTGCGCCGGTGCTTGGCGATAATCAA